GCAAAGACCATATTGTTTGAAATGATTATGAGACTCCACAAGAAAGAAGCAAAGTTTTAGTCAATTTTAACTAAGCATCTTAATTAAATTACCAGCTTTGAGCCAATAGCATCCATGTGGCTCTTCCAATATGTTTCATCAAATGAAACCCTCTTTATCTATAAGCATTGCAGTGAATGTTTTATGGCTTAATCATATTCAAGAACATGACCATGTAATCCAGAAGGCCAATATTCCATTTCCATTTTGATTGGGGAGGTTGTTTTAGATTAAAGAGGGCAGTGCAGGCCACAGTGTAATGGGAAAGGGAGGCTGACAAGCTAGGAAGAGCAGAGCAGAAAATATATAAGCATCAGAGCCTTGAGGCACTCAGACAAAAACATATGAAGAAAAATGGATGGGTTCCACAAGCTCTTTATGTGCATGGGATTTTTTTTTTTAAGGAAAACACAAGGTATGCTGTAAACAGAACTGAGAGATATCAATATAGAGATGCTATTTACAGTTAGGGAGTCTATTTAAAAAAAAAAGCATCAAAGTGATCAAAATGATCCCTAGCTCTGGGACACTCAAACAGAGATTGATCACAGAGAGGGTTGCTGGGAAAGGAGATAATGAGTCAAAGTCATATATTTAATTGAGGGAAATTCAGCTTTTACACTTCTCTATCTTGTGTCCCACAAGAGTTGTATATTTTTTAACTTTAAACTATTGAGAAAATTTTATTTTTAAAAGAAAATAGTCTTCATTTAAAATTTTATAACAAAATTGCAAATAATTTTTGATCCAACTCTCATTTCTATACCGAAAAATTTCCCTCGTCATTCTGACTAGCTGAACATGATTTTTAAACATTTCATATTTTAAAAATGGCATTAACCAATGAATAATAGCTCATACCTAGGAAATGTTTCCTTTCATGGCTACAACAGAGATAGGAGAATTAATTTATGTCCAACTCTCTTGCTTTCTTAAATAGAAATCTGCAGATGACATAGAGTGAACTTTCTTGTTTTATTCTAGGTATCATGGTGTGGTATTTCTTCTAACTTCTTTTGGAATATATTGCATATTTTATGGTTGGAAAATACAGAAGAAAGTATTTACAAAGAAAGAATATAGCTCAGAAAGCAGCTTGAAAAGATATGCCCAAAACTTTAACTCTTCCTTAAAAAGGCATAATTTCTTGTAAGAAGGTTGAAAATATGGCCACTACTCATTTGAGGAGACAGGATCTCAATTTGCAAACCATTAGAATTGGTTGAAAATCGTTTTGGGGGACAGAGTACAGTGGATTAGGTTTTGTGTTAACAAGCTCTTGTGAGTCAGGTAAAATAGAAAGAAGTTGAGAAAAATGAGTCAGGACTTAAGAACTAAAGTCAAATAATGATAAGATCATCTAGAAAAATAAAGCAAATATCAGCAGAAAAAGAGAGAAGTGCCTGTTATCTACCAGCAGGGGCAGAAATCAATGAGTTTCCCAAATTCCAAGAGTGAAATCCCTCTGGTAAGTGAAACAGTCCTTCACATTTGTTTTCTTTATAGCAGTGCTTGTCAGAGTTCTACATACAGGGTGGTTAAATGATTCTAGAAGGAGGGGATCAAGGATAGTTCTGATTCGCACTGCTTGCCACAGTAGAGACATTCTAGTGTCCATTGTTTCCATACAAAAGGGAATTAAGTGACAGAGGAATTTTCCTCATGGATCAGGAGACCCAAAGACTCAGGTGAAGAGAGAAATACATCTAAATGTAACTGTGTCTCACTCCTCTCCCCTCTTTATCAAAGCTCCTAGCATTTAAGCTGATCGGATAGACTTCGGTAAGCATGATGCAGGCAACCTGAAAATGACCTCAGAAGCTCTTCTAAGAACATACGATGAGAGAAAGAAAGGGAAAGACATCCAGTATGAAAAGAAACAAGCCCAAGGTGAACTACTAATGAGGAAACATCACATCACAGGGCCGAAGTCACAGATATAGGACTTGTGCAGAAAGAGGAACATGGGGGCAACAGAGTGGTGAGACACACAGGGATCGAGGGGAAAGCCTGTGCCAGTAGCTGTTGTGCATGAGGAAGTGGTGAAGAGAGAGGATGAAGACTATTAGGAAGTTTTCTGTTAACCCATTATGAAAACTCCTGTGCAGTTCCACTACAGAACCCCATGGTAACCAACGATAACAGTCTTCAAGGCTTCAGGGCTGCGCCATGGAGAAAGTGCCATGCAGAGACCGGTGCAAGATAGAGCCAGTTGTATTCACTCTACATTCTCAATGGAGACACCATTGATTATTATTTTTTTAATGAAGAAGAGAATTTTTGTAATTAGAAGTGAATTGAATTCAATGCTGATTGTGGAAATGCATGTATTTTGTTTTTCATTAGCAGAGTTGAAAATTACAAGGCTTAGAAAAAAATCTAATCAATTGTCATAATGATGAAACTGGAACAATCAATTTTATGGAAAGATGTTCAAGTTTTAAAGCAAAGGCCAAATCCATCCTTAGTTAATGAGCACTGAACTTCAGTTTACTGGATAGAATGCAAAAGCCAATTCTTTCTCGCAATCATGTTTTAACTATTTGAAATAAACGTAACTTCGGCTGTAGGAACACATTATGATATAATTTCTCTATTTTAGCCTGATAATCCTTTCTGGAGGACTTTTGCAGATGAAAGGTTTCCTTTCTTCCATTTCCAGAAGTTTCTTACAATTCTAGGTTTACAGATTGTTCATCATGAATGGTTTGTTCTCTTTCCAAAGTTCTTGAACTTCTAGACAATTGTTATAAAAAAAAGGCCAGGAGAAGGGATAGTGGCAGTCTTTAAGTGGAATAAAGTCCCATGTTGTCTAAACAAACCAACTTCCCTTGTTCTGTAAGCTTTAATTTAACAAATAATGCATTCTTTCCAACCTTGATATATAGCAATCCATGTTTGTAAGTATTTTTAATGCATTTGATTTTGAATAGAAATCTGAAAATAATAAAATTCAGAGAACATATAACCATGTCCTTAGTTTTTTTCTACAAAACATGTTTATTATGAAGTTAATAAAAAAGCTTTGCCTACAATGTTAGGTGTATGTCAGAGGCTGTGACAGTACACTAAAAGATGAACTATGAAATAAGTAATAACAAAAATTAAACAAAAATGAAGAACATCTAAAGAACAAAAGATATACAAAGGGGGCTCCCCAAAATGTCTTTCTACGTAAATATGAGTGGCTCAGTGGCAAATTGAAAAATAGGGTGAGGAGGAGGAAGATTTTAAGTGGGAAACTTTATTTCTTCCCCCAATTTTAAACTGTTGTGGGTGGTCTCTTAGTAGAACTGGAACAGAGCAACAGAACAATACTATAACAGCTAATTATAATTTAAGAAATCACCCCATGCCCCTGACTTAGAAAAGATATGATAGAAGTGTGCCTGTTTGAATAAAATTGTTCAAAGTGTGATCTGGGATATAGGGGTAACCGGACAAAGGCCACAGGAAGGTTGTTTTAGGACTATCTTGACTCTGCCTTCCTTGACTCCAGCCCATTCCTTAATGATGATGCCATCTTGGTATTAGAAACCAAATCATAAAGGTGAGACAAGTGTTTCTGGTTTCATTCACACAGAGAAAAATAATGTTCTTTTCTAGAAACTTCATACAGCTTCTCATTGAGGTGTTTGGAGGGCTTAATGGCCTGTACCAAATTAGTGTTCTGAACACTGTATCTTACTTTTAAAAAATTTAAATAGCATTCATTTTTCACAGGTAGTGGAAAATTATCTTCTAGAGTTAACAGTGATTCATTAAATTAGTTGGTATGATTTCATTAGTTTTAGCTTCCCACGTAGTTAGGCATCAGTCAGCTCTAAGTTCCATGCCCTACTCAGATGAAGAAGAAAACAAATTTCAGCGATATCTTGAGGTGTTTTGTGTTTGCCCACCAACACTAGAAAACAACAAAAAACAATGGAAAGGCACCTCAGATCATGGCCCTGCTAACTGAGGCTTCTCATGAAACCGCAGCATAATTCTGAATAGTTAGCATTGCTTCCTAAGCCTTTACCCCTTCGTTCATCTATCACAACCATGCTCTGCTGACCTCCACTTCAGTCACAAGGAACTAGTGTTATTCCTTCTTCTTGTAATCAGTTTTCTTCCCATTTTGTACTTTTCCTTCACATACTAATGTAGGATTTCCTGACTGGCATCACAAGTCAGGTTTGGAATCGAATAGCTGATGAAAATAATAGGCTAAGGGAATGATGATGTATGATGTAAGGATTGAATAGTACTCTCATTCTTTTTATTCTAGGCTTTATTTTGCATCGCCATTAATTTTTAAAAGTAATTTCATAATCATAATTAGCACAGGAGTCACCTATTATAAGTTTGGAAAAGTAAGCTAAAATCAACTAGTTCAGCATTCTGATATCAGAAATGACAAAGTGATTAAGAAGAAAAATGATGGAGATTCCATAATAGAAAGGGCCGTTAGTCTGACATAATTCCATGATCTGAAATCATTTCATTATGAGACACTGCGAAGATATTCAAGCTGATGAAAGTAACAATTGTAGACTATGTATGTATTTTTGGACTGTATATTAAATATTCTCAAGTTAGCAGATGCAAATTGAGAAAATAAAAATTTTGTTTGAAATCAGATAAGCAGAAAAACCTGAGAAAGCAATAAAAAATGGAAACACTTTTAAAGATGTAGTTCAGTGGCCTAGAATTTCCAAGGCCCTGGATTTGTCTGTTAGTGAGAACACTTGTCAAAAGTTAGGTATTAAAGGATTCCTTAAAAATTTGTTTAAGCATGAAAAATTTAAAGTGTAATTCAATCGCATGTACATACAAATACAGAAACATAAAATTTGAACCACTGTGTCCTATTTTAAGGTAAATATCCCAGCAGCTCTGGTAAAACAGGACATTTTCTACTCTGCTTCACCAAACACACTGGTGGTGGGGTTCTGCCCTCCACTCATCACCGCACTTACCTCCACATCTTGGAATGGGTCCACTCCACATTACTTTTCCATCCATAAGAATGCATGTAATTGTTTCTGTTCCCTGGGTTTTAATAAACCCTTCTTCACAAATAACTGAAATGGAACTTCCTAACTGAAAGTTGTCTCCAAAACGCCGAGCATTGATAGGTATTCCAGGGTCAGGACATTCATTATGGCCAAAAGCTTTAAAATGGCAAACCAGAACAGGAGGAGTATTAGAAAGAGATTTACATAGATTTGGAGTAAGAAAAGTGATTGTTACAAATGATTGAGGCATTTTTTTCTAGAAAAGCCTCTTATTGATATTATTTTTCTTAAATTTAGATTTTTTTCCTATGATACTTCTGTGACATGTAATAGCTGTGATGATTTTAACATATTAATTAAACTCTGACTTAAAAAATTTTAGAGAATTATTCCTTCACATTTGTGATCATTAGGCTAAATCCATATGAAAATTTCTAGTATAATTTGTTCGGATTCCAATTAATGTGAATTCTAAGAGGCTGATGATATCTCTCTTGAAGCTTCTATGAGTCAATCAATTTGGAATTTAAAGACAGTTTTATTATTAAAAATGAAAGTGAATGTTTCAATATGTCATTAAGTCTTTTATAGTTTTTATAGTCTTTTACAGGTCTTTCATGATCTTTATTTTCTGCAATCCAGGAAAGGGAGTTAACTCTTCCAATGACCAGATCCTAAGCATTAGGCTGTGTTACTGTCTCATTTAACACTAAGAAGGGCCAGATGAGGAGAATATCCCTATGAAGAGAAATATCATACTGAAAGAATGTCAAGTAACTTGCCTCTAGTCATCGATATGGAAGTTGCTAGGACTGAGATATATCTGCTTATCTGACTTAAAAAGTTTTATCAATACTTTTTATATTGGATAATAATCCTCATGCATCATGAGCTGAGAGCCACTGTTGTGTTTTATCTTGTATCTCTCAGGATGTCTGCTTAGTAAAGAGCAGGTGTATAAGTGACAATGTATTTGTTTGAAAGTTAATAGATTATGTTGAGTCATCCAAA